TTTGTATATTTAGTAGAGACAGGGTTTCACCGAGTTGCCCAGGCTGATCTCAAACTCCTGACCTCAGGTGATCCACCCGCCATGGCCTCCCAAACTGTTGGGATTACAGACCTGAGCCACCGCGCCCAGCCGGGCCCACACTACTGAAGAAGATTGTTCTCAAATGTGGAAAGACGGCCGGGCGCGGTGGCTCACTCCTGTAATCTCAGCACTTTGGGAGGCCGAGGGGGGCAGATTAACTGGGGTTATGAGTTTGAGACCAGCCTGGGTGACATGGTGAAACCCTGTCTCTACTAAAGATACAAAAATTAGCCGGGCGGGGTGGTAGGCACCTGCAATCCCAGCTACTTGGGAGGCTGAGGCAGGAGAATCGCCTGAACTCGGGAGGCGGAAGTGGCAGTGAGTCAAGATGGCGCCACTGCACTCCAGCCCCAACGACAGAGTAAGACTCTGTCTCAAAAAAAAAAAAGCTGGAAAGAAAGCAATATGCACTCCAGCCTGACAGAGTGAGAAAGCAATGTACACATATGAAACCTGACAAAGTTTTCTAAAGACACTATGATAGATATCATACACCAAGTTATAAGATTTTCTATTTTTTTTTTTTAGACGGAGTTTCGTTCTTGTTGCCCAGGCTGGAGTGCACAAACTCGGCTTACCCGTAACCTCCGCCTGCTGGGTTCAAGCAATTCTCCTGCCCCAGCCACCAGGGTAGCTGGGATTACAGGTGCCCACCACCACGCCTGGCTAATTTTTTTTGTATTTTTAGTAGAGACGGGGTTTCACCATGTTGGTCAGGCTGGTCTCGAATTCCCAACCTCAGGTGATCCGCCCACGTCAGCCTCCCAAAAGTGCTGGTATTACAGGCGTGAGCCACCGCACCCGGCCTATAAGATCTTATACCTTAAGTTAGAGTAAAAGTTCCAGTTAATGTACAATCCCTAATACTCTGTAAACCATTAACTGGGTTAACAGTTTTAAATTAGAATCTAGGTAAAAACACTGGAACCTTTTTTAGCACATACAAGTGGATTTGGGACCCTATTAGGGTAAAATTATTCATCAGTTATGATTTCAATCCCTTAAAACTATCAGAAAGGCATACAAAAAAACAAAGAGAGGCCAGGCGCGGTGGCTCATGCCTATAATCCCAGCACTTTGGGAGGCCGAGGCGGGTGGATCACTTCAGGTCAGGAGTTAGAGACCAGCTTGGCCAACATGGTGAAACCCCGTCTCTACTAAACATACGAAAATTAGCCGGGCATGGTGGCTCCAATCTGTAGTCCCAGCTACTCGGGAGGCTGAGGCAGGAGAAT